ATTTTCCATAATTTAGATATCTAAATTTGATTTGCATTATATTGTATTATAATAACAATAATATATAATAATACCATAAAATTATATCAATATTATTTATAATAAACAGTATTACAGCAAGTTAGAAAAAGTACAGAGATGAAGTGTCATTTTGTTGTTGTTAGGAGACATTTGCCTGAGTCAGACATCTCAGCACTTCTGCTGCCAGGTTCAAAACTGAGTTCATATACACAGGCCCAAGAACCTTCTCCTATCCTGCTTCTTTAAGTGTTTCATGTTTGTCTGTTAATCAGGAAGGAATGTAATGAGAAAAGTTGCTGATCATCTAAACTAAGGCACAAATGTGTTTCCTGTCATGACTTAAATCTGCTATGAGCAGATTTCCCCCTCTTTTGTTCCTGTAACATTCTGATTTGGGGTCCAGAATTCCAGGAGGAGATGTGAATGCAAAAGCTGAGTTGAGAACCCTGAACCCAGGTGTCCTGGAGAAGCCTGAGTTGCCAGTGTTTGCTTTCTTGGCAAAAATCCCCGGTCTAAGTATGATTAGAAAATGCTAAAACCTGCTCTGCTCCCCATTGACTTGTGGTTCCATCCTATAAAAATGCTGTACAATTTCACTTTAGGTCATAGCTCAGCTCTTGCATCTGTTAGGAGGACCTGACCAATCACCAGCAGCCTGAATACAGTATCATTTTGTCATCTGCTTAAATATTTATACTATGACGAATGTTCAGAGAATCAGTCAGTGCCCACATCTGTGCTATTGTCCCCAACTAGTCAGTTTTTTCCTCCTAATTCAAATAAAGATCTTGCTTTGATGGACTTTTGAAACTTCTTGGATTATTTTGGTATTTCTGACCCCAAATTGTGTTTTATTGAAAAATATAATTGTGGAATGGCTGGTACAATAGTGTACTAACAGCAGAACACAAATTGTGAGAGTAAGGCTTGAGGATCTTAATAATATGAAAGAGTGAGGTAGAAAATGATCATCTGTAGTTGGCTGTAATAAACTTACTTTTTTTACATCTTTATTATTGTAGCTGCAAATGAGTCAAGATAGGTAAAAAGCCAATGGGCTTCTGAATGTCAGACACTGGAAACTGATATCACAAGTTCCTCTTCTTAAAAAAAATGCACTGAATATTTTAAAACTGAATATTTTAAGTGTGCTTTGTGGAAAACAGCTATGACAGTTTTCAAATCACCTGTTCTTTTTGATGATTTTTTTCATTATTATTATTATATATTACAGTTTATTCATTTTGTATCGCAACTGTAGTCCCGTTCCCCATCTACTCCCTGTCCCACCCTCCTTTCATCTTTTCCACTGTGTTCCTCCCCTAGTCCACTATTAGGGAAGGCTCTCTTCCACTACTATCTGACTTTGGCCTATAAGATTTCATCAGGACAGTCTGGACCCCCTTACTCTGTGGCCTAGTAAAGCCACCTTGACTGGGGGAAGTGAGCAAAGAGAAGGCAACCAAGTTCATGTCAGTGTCTGCCCCCGCTCACCTTACTAGAGGAAATTAAATGTTCTAACTACTTTCACAATAGCAATCCCGAACAAACAAGTTGTTTTTGATGACCTATAATTCTATCTCAGATGATGGTGCTCACTAAAGTCACTATGGACTATGATGAAATCATCCAGGTTGGTGAAGAAAGAAAGAACCAAACATGTTTTTCACCCACATGGAGGAAGCAGGTGCAGAGCCCCAGGGCTATGGGATTCCCAGAGCACATGGATGAGAAGGAAGTAGAACAATGGAAAGACAGAAAATTCAGAGCAAATCTGGCTACAGTGACAGAAATATTTCAGTACTGTGACCCCCAGTTGTCTGGACTTTGCTGCAGTGTGTGTGCTGGCCTGTCATTAGAACCATTGGGTATGCACAGACTGAGAGCCTGAAGCAAGAGTAGGAAGCAGCTGTAGCATACAAAGTCTTCTCTGACACTGTTGAGGTCTGAACCTGTTCCATGATCACAGCCAATAATCTCCTTGGATCAGCCTCAATACAGGGGACTATATATGTATAGTGAAGATCCTGACATGTCCTTTCCTTTGCTTGGTCTCATCCTCCTCCTGCAATCTGCATATACATCAATGGAGATGTTTCAGCTCAATTGTCATCAATACTGGGAGCCCAGCACTGACATGGAGGCAGACATAATCCTCAGTACATTTATCCCCATTCACATCCAAGTTGAAATACTCCAAAATGTTCAGAACATTTTTGAGAGTGAACCAAGTCTACGATGGGACACCTTTCTGTGAGTACTTGTTGCTATGGGTGTTCTGGCTACAAGATAATACATGACATGCTAAACACATGTAATTCCATTGAGAATAATGAACTAGATATGGAGCAATGTGAAAGACAGTTTCACATTTTCCTGCTTCCTTATAAATCTATAAATACTTCCACTCTGCTTTGCTATGTTTCCAGTCAGGAAGAAATTAGAGAAAGAAACCACCAACTTTTGTGTCTGCTCCATAGTGTTATTCCATGGTCAGACTTACATATTTTTTTTAACACATTGACTCTAAATATGTCAAGATACAGTTCCACTCTGCTCACCTCTATTTGGCCATCTAAATGTCTTATGTCTAAATATCTGTTTCTTTCCAGGGACTTAGAGAGTTTCTGCTAAAATGAACTTGAATATACCCATGTCCTCAGTACAAATCTTAAAATTTCCTCTTCCACATGTTCTGGTTTTAGTATCTTTAATTTATCTCAGAGTTTAGACACTATGGTCATACTTATGCCTTATTTATTTACCATTGACATTGTAATGAAGTGTTCTGACAGTCATGTCATTCATACCTGCTGGAAACCCAGTGCTTTGTGTTTTGATAGGAGGTTTTATGATTTTCATTTACAACATGTGTATCTGTCCTTTTACCCCCTCAGAGTCTCAATTTTGTCTTAGGATTTGTCTTTTATGCTACCGAGACTTTCCTGTGGATTGCTATTTTTTTTTCTATTGCTATTCCAAATTCTCTTGTACACTGTTGATTCTTCTCTCAATATCCAGTTTAATTCATTGTTTGATTCTGTCTTTTCTGTTTTTCATCTTTTTGCTATCTGAAGCATTTTTCTGCAAATTTGACTCTCTGAGAAACTGAGTTCAGTTGTTGGTTATTTATGATACTGTGGAGGAATCATTAGGCTTTTTCATATTACCTGTTTTTCTGTTGATGCTATGATTGGTACATGTGTTCATTTGAACATCAATTTAGAAATTAGGATGGTCCTTTGCTGTGAAGTGTCTTCTTGAAATGTCAGTACATATTTCCCCTTTGAGCAGGAAACAGAAATACAAGCCTGTGGTCCTGGTAGTTGTAGCATTATGGAATATTTGAATAGAAAAAAAAACACCTCAGGATGCCTGATTTATTTTGGAAATAAAGCACTCTTAGGAATGATTTCACAAGATAGAGAAACTATAGCTCAGTAACACACTGAAGCCAGAGAGAGAAGAAATCCCTACACCAGAGGAAGGAAGGAACCCATCCTCAGACATAGATAATAGGTAGAAAAGACTGAATTGTTAATTGACAGAAGTCTTAATGTAGATTCTGTTTCACTTGTGAAAGGTGGATCAAATCTCAATTCCTTGAAGCTTACATCATAATTTTTAAAGTTTACCCAAAGATATAAAAGTTTAAAATATATTAACATGACCACAATCTGTAATCTACACTGAAATTCTCACTGTAGGAAAGACAGGTAACAACTGTCTGTACATATCTGGGTTAAACTTATGCTTTACTGCTAACCCTTGGGCACCAAGAAGGATGTTTGGTTCTGGGGTTTAAAAAGGAAAAGCATTTCCTCTCTCTTTGAATGTAATGACAGATAAGATTTCAGCACAATGGAAAGCATTGAAGTATGTCTTCAGCAGGAATGAAAAGGTAATAAAAAGGTTGATTCTGGAACTATGAGAGAGAAGCCAGCGCTTTCATATCATGGTTTTCATAGTATATCAGAAAGCCACGTATTAATATTTTAAATCTCTGAAATTTTAAAATCTTCAACTCTCATTTTCACATACTTTAAACCACTTGCTCAAACATTTACAACTTTGAATTACATAGCTTAAATCACTTTCTTAGACATTCAAAATTTACATCAACTTTGAAGTGTTTGTTTCCCCCATCCAAGCGTTTACCAGGAGACAGATTTGTTTGTTTACTGGGATAAATGTTTGACAATCAAGTTCTTTTCAGTGAAAGAACTGTAAAAAGTAAACTGTTAGGTATTAGTAGCTTCAGTTTGAATTCCATTCAAACTGTGAGATTGGATTTTTCAGTGTGAAGCTGGCAAGGTAATGATTTCTTCATCAGGGAACCTAGTATCTGTAGAAAAGAACAAGGCCTGACTTTCATGTATGATATGGACTAACCATGAAGCTGCAGCATTGTTCAGAGAAGCTACCTAAGGTTTCATTACCTCTGCTAAACTTCTACAGTGACAACTTGCTGTCAACACATCAAGAGATCTGAGAGGGGTAAATTTGAGCAGGAAGTATAATACAAATTGCCTCTATGTGAGTCAAAATGACAGACTTAAGGGATACCTGGACCCTCAGTCTGAGATCCTCCATGGCAATCTCAAAGACTTTGTAGGGAGCAGAGGTTGACAGTCTCTGGATGTTACCCAAGACAACATTAAGGCTTCAGCTGTCACACAGAATATTAGCAGCCTTCAAACACCAGACAAGTGAGGTCTGAAAGATTTTTTCTGTGGACGGAAATTTGGAAAAAGTAACCTAACTTGTCAGGGAGAGTAGGGCATTTAACTCAACAATGTTGGGCAGGAATGGATTGGTGAAACATATGGATATTCATAGTTCAGTTGTCAGCATTACCAGAGTTAAAATATCATCAAAGAAAAGGTCATTTCTGCTTATCTTATTTGTGGATAGGCATAGCTACTGACTCCTGAAGTCTGTCAGAGAAAGCCTTTTTCATTAAATTCCTTAAATCCATACTCAGCAGAACTCTCTGAGGGATTTGATGGAGAACATCGAATTTATTTCCATATTTTTTCACTTGAATATTTTTTATTATTTAATTCAATTTATATCTTGGTCATACACCTCACCCTCCTCTAGCAATCCCCCTCCCCTATTCTACCCCATACCTGCACAATCAATCTCCTGTAGTCTCATGATGACTTGTTCATCTATCTTCCTGTAGTCTGTTAAGGCAGTTCCATCAGGGGAAAGTGATCAACAAACAGAAAAGATATTCCATGCCAGAGATAGCTCCCCCTCCCCTAATTAGCCCACATGAAGCCTAATCAGCCCATCAGCTACTTGTGTGTCCAGACCATGCATTTTTCCTTGGTGGGTGCTTCAGGGTACTTAGGTCCCTTTGGGCACATATTGATTGCCCCTGATGACCTTCATACATATATAAATGAATAAGTATAAGGATATAGCCAACTGAATCCATTGCTTATTCTTTAGTATCGCTTTTATGGGATGGGAAAAACATCAGCCCACAGCTAAAATGGAAAAAGAGAGAATATATTGTAGAATATATTCGAGAGTCTCTGAACACAGTTTATGTTATCCCACATTTCATGTTACAATGTGGAAGCACCTTCAGCAGTTTTCATAATAACAGTATAAAGAAAGGTATAAATCAAATGCATCACTGGAAATATCAGAGAGGGGGTTACATCAAGATGGGGCAAGTTATCATACAGGGCCATGATGCTATGTGATGTCATTCTTGTCTTTTAGATTGGCAGAAGCCAGTGGTGTGCTGGGGTACTACATTCCAAAATGATTTTATTCATTAGCTATAGAAGGTAGATATAGATATCTAGATCTAGATCTAGATATATCATTTCAACCTCAGAGGTGTCCAAAATATGGCTATGCAGGGTGCTGATGATAGCCTGCACTAAGATAGTAAGCCCCTAGAACTACTATATTCTGATCTCTCCACATCAATGAAGTTTTTATAGCCAGTCTTCTCAGGCACAGCTCTTCCCAGGAGTTCTCATTGACACACACATACATTCATACAGTTCGATATTTAGTATGGAATAATCCCTGGGGAAGACTAATCTCTTTCTCTCAGTTGTTGCTAATTGTTTTGATCGATAGATATTCTCTTAACATAGCATCTAGCCATAGACCTCAGAGGTAATGCAGTACAACCAAATGGCATTTATTTTCTGTGATAGCTGGTCTTAAGGCAGAATTGTTCCTTCAGTACAACCCAGTGGACTTCAGGCTCATGATTTATGTTAATCTACCTCTATTAAGATCACCCAGACTCTTATCTACCACAATTTTTTAAAGAAACTTCTGAGGATGCATCTGCAAGCACAAAAGCCATGAGTGACACAATTCAGCCCACCTATATGCACCAAAGTTCAATATCCTCTCATAGTGAGCATTATTTTTTAAATGTCTTAATATCCCCTTTTCCTCTCTTTTATATGCTAGTTTAACTTACTTTTTTCCCACTGCCTTACCTTACCCAGGAAACTCTACTCAATGATTTAGTCTGAAAACTTCTAGAAACATTTTTCCTTTAGTTACTACTTTTTACATTTTTGTAAATATATATTCATATTTACATTAAGTTTACAAGTGTTTTCCCTACATGTTTGAGTGTGTTCACCACTTCTGTTCATGGTTCTTTGAGAGGCCAGTGGAGGACATGAATCCCATAGAACTGGTGTAACATATTATTGGAACCTAAAACTGGCTACTGTGTACGAATCAGGGTCCTCCACAAGAGCAACAAGTAGTCATAATATCTCATGCCCACGGAACACTATTTTACACAGGTTTATTTATTTTTATTTCATATATTTAAGTGTTTACATTCTTGTATATGTGTGAATGCCACAGACGTGCATGGTGCCCAAAGATGCCAGAAATGATCTTATGACCTATAGCGACACATGGTACCAAGGCACTATGGGCACTGAGAACTAATGCTAGCTTTTATTTAAAGTGGTCAGTGTGCCTAGAGGCCTAAAGATCTTTCTATCCCTCAAAGAGACACTTTAACACTGGGAGTACCTACAAACACACTTGTTACAATTTTTCCAGTGAGTATGAAATGGAATCATTACAAAATAAAAAGACATGAAGCTCTTATCCACACACCTAGTGAACACCTTATTGACTCTCCCATGACACAGTGCTTCCATGAACAGCAACATCATAAGCACCTATGCATTCAGCAGTCATAGGACACAGACAAGAGACATGTTATCCACACAATGTACCTCAAGAAAACAATTACTAGGTGTAGTTTAATTTCTGAGCATTTGGGAGCCATTCCATGAGGTAACTCAGTTGTCAGGGGCTTATTCACAACAGCTTTCCATGTCACAGGAAAGTGAAGTCCTAAGAACTCTAAGTTTCTGAATTTGAAAAAAAAAGTCTTTAAAAAAGTCTCTGAGAAAAATGGACTGACTATACTCTTCAGTCTAACTCTATGAGTTTAGCTCGAGATGGAAAAACTATCAAATTTTGCTGACTTTATACTTTGCCATTGAGGAGATCAATAAGGACTCACAACTGCTTCCCAATGTGACCGTGGGTTTCCATGTCTACAATGCCTTTAATTCTAACAAAAGAACCTTGGAGGGGCCTCTGATGTTGTTGTCTGGAAAGAGTGATTATATCCCTAACTATGAATGCAAAGTGCAACACAAAACTCTAGGAATCATTTCAGGAACCAGCCCAGAATTTTCTGCTGCTATTGAAACACTTTTGGAACTCTACAAAGTCCCACAAGTAAGTTAGAAAAGTCTTTTTGTTCACAATCACATAGGAAATCTGACCAAAAAGAGCGCATTGGAAAGACTCTAAATAGCGGTGTTTTCAAAGCAAAGACTCGTGACCAAACCTTTGGCAGGGTGCAGGGAATCATAAGAAAGAAGGGGAGTTAGACTGATGAGGAAAGGATAGGAGCTCCACAAGGACCAAAGATATCTGGGCACAGGGTCTTTTCTGAGACTGACATGCAACCAAGGACCATGTATGAATGTAACCTAGAACCTCTGCTCAGATGTAGCCTGTGGTAGCTCAGTAACCAATTGGTTTCCCATAGTGAGGGTAACAAGGACTATTTCTAACAGGAACTCAATGACTGGCTCTTTGGCCTTCCCACCCCCCAAGGGAGGAGCAGTCCTGTTAGGCCACAGAGGAGAGCTTTGCAGCCAGTCCTGAGGATACATGATAAAACAGGATCAGATGAATGGGGAGGAGGTCCCCCCTATCAGTGGACTTGGCAAGGGGCACGGTGGAGAGGAGGGAGGGAGGGAGGGACTGGGAGGGAATGAGGGATCGGGACACGGCTGGGGTACAGAGTTAATAAAATGTAACTGATAAGAAAAAAAATAAAATATGAAAAAAAGAAAACAAACAAGTGGTTTATGTTCAGTGTAAGCAGATTTCAAAAGAAAAAAAATAAAATACGTAAAAAAAAGAAAACAAACAAGTGGTTTATGTTCAGTGTAAGCAGATTTCAAAAAGCAGTGAATGAATTACCTTGATAAGGCAATGATTAACAATGGAAAGAGTGTGGTGAAAAGAATGAGCAGTACATTCTGAGAATTTCACAGCAGATCACTTAGTAATATTCATAATTCTATCTCCAAATAGAATGCTGGCAAGGTGTACTATGGATATTCAGGCTGTATGTGCTCACAAGTCAAACTCTAAAACACAGATACCTAACTACCCAATCTAGCTTATAAAAATCTCATAATTAATAGTGTGGTCAATATCTGACATAGAAAATAGAAAGTACAGGACATGTAACTAAATTTGGAACAATCCTCAAGATCATCACCAGTGAAAAACTCCAAGAAACTTTTATGAACTCATTCAGGATAGTAGATCTCAGATGAAAATTGATAGATAATACCAACTTAGGTATATTCCCACTACTGACTATTGCCAGCCTATGCTGAAGCAAAGCATCCATCAGAAGGCTTTACTGCAAACAGAGAAACCATTGGGTGAATGTACAGGTCAGAAATAATCAAGATCACAAAACCCACAGTGTAACTCTGATTGTTATCACTCATTTAAACAATTCATATGTGAAGAATAAACCCATTTCCTCTCTTAGGGTTATGACCCTAAATACCTCTAAAGTCAGAATCCCCACCTTTTTTTTTCTTTGCTTTTTCAGGTCACATATGGACCTTTTGATACTGAGCTAAATGACCAAGTTACATTCCCATCCCTTTACCAGATGTCTCTTAAAGACAGAGGTCTAGCCCATGGAGTGATCTCTTTATTGCTATACTTTGGCTGGAATTGGGTGGGGCTTTTTGTGCTTGATGATCGGAAAGGAAAAGAGTTCCTCTCTCACCTGAGAGCAGAGATGGTATCAGAAGATATCTGTGTGGCTTTTACAAAAAAATTCCCTGCTTTTTGGAAAGTGGGGTTAAAAAATGTTGCTATTTTGATGGACTTGAACCAACATACACAAGTAAATGTACAGATATTCTATGGTGATATAGATGACTTGATGTTATTCTGCCTTGATAACCAAATATTTGTAGCTGGAGGGAATGTGTGGATCATGGCAAAGCAACACTTTGTATATTTAGATTCTATAGCAAATGAGAATTATTTGCTAAACTTTTTCAGTGGAAGCATCTCCTTTTCAAAGAAGAGAACCATCCCTGGCTTCAAGCACTTTCTTGAGGATCTTACACCCTCCCAGTACCCAGGAGATTTTTACTTCCATAGATTCTGGATGGATTATTATGTTTGTTCACCTGCTTTACCATGTAAAAATCTTAAACCCTGCCCAGCAAATATTTCCCTAAAGATTAATCATGAAAAAGTGGATATGATGACCATTTCTGAGCACAGCTATTCCATATGGAATGCAGTGTATGCAGTGGCCCATGCCCTCCATAAAATGCTATTGAACAAAATTGAAATGGAATCTAAAGAAGATAGAAACACGGACTGGCTTCTACCATGGCAAGTAAGTCTCACACAGAAGCAAGTGAAGCTCAGGTTCTCATATTATTAGTAAGTAATTTACTGTGTTCAAGCCATTAAAATATTTTCATCTTATACTTAAAAATATACACTAAAATGGAAAAGGTTTCTGTACCAGTGTATGTATATATGTCTATAATTATCTTACATGATTTTAGAACTAAAAGCACTGATTTGAAGACAGTAAATTTGAATGTCTTTCATCATATATTTTTCTTTTGTGAGAAGAAATTCTGTAAGATATCTATGTAATTAATATAAAAATATAGCAAGTTCAATAACCAAATTTTATGGGCTTTAATGGAATAGGTCGAGTGTCATAAGATATAGACAAAGTGACCATACCCAAAGCTGCTACATTAAATAAAATGCAATCTATATTTTTAAGGACACAAAACCATGGGGAGATCCTTTTGTGGAAAATAAATCATCTGTCCTAGAGTCATAAGTAACAGAAAATTAATTGCTTATACAAATTATTTATTCTTAATTTTGTAAATGAAGATATAACCAAAACTATGCTTCCATTCTTAAATGTTAGAGCACAAACAATATTCATAAGCCAAGGCTATATCTTCATGCATTAGTGATAAATGGCTTTGTTTGGGTTTTACATCAACAAGATAAAAACAGGACTCATCAACACATATGAGCCTCAATGATCACCTTCAAATAGGGTATCATCAATAAGACTGTTGAACAAGTCAATTTCACTTTAAATTCTATCAAAGATAGATAAATAAAAAATAAATTCTGAATGTATAAATAGATAAATAAAAAATAAATTACATCTCAAAATGTAATATTGAGCATGATAGAAAACAATAATATTTGACATAGACATTGACACAGTTTGTGAATATGGCTTCTCGCAGATGTGATCTTGAGGTAAGTTTGTATATACCTTCTATGGATAACAGAGTACCTATGCAACAGTTCTTTATAACATGAGTTTAATTAGGTAACACAACACTGAATATCAAAAGTTGAAGTACTAACCCATTTTATTTGATAGATATGTAATTAAATCATGGTTGAGGGATGACTCAACAGATATAACCATGTGCTGCTCATACAGGGTACATGAGTTTAGTTGTTAGCACACATATGGTGGCTCACAACTGTCTTTAACTTCAGCTCCAAGGAATCTGGCACACTCTTTTGCTCTCTGTGGCAGCAGGCATACACTTTGTGTACATATATACATAGTTGTAGACAATAAACAAAAACAAAAATAACACAAATCTAGGGGGTTGAGATGGCTCTGTTTAGAAGTACTTCTTGCTCTTGAGAAGACCCATGCTTGGTTCCTGGTATCTATATAAAAGCTTACAACTGTATGTAACTCCTCTTCTGGGGGATCCAGCAGCTTCTTCTGGCCTTCAGAGGCACCAGGCACATTTGTAGTGCATATTGTCCTGCATGGTGTTCATATCAAAACTGAAAGTCAACTATTGTTACAGAAAACAAACCAAAGAGAAATGAAGGCAGGCAGTGGGTCCCTTTACAGTTTTCTGAGTTATAACTGACATAAATTTTATATTTATTTAATATACATTTTTAAATGAATGTGGAGCTTTGCATAAATTCCTACTAATGTTATCATATCAAGGTACTCTCTTTAAATATATGCATACCTATTTACCTAATTGAAATACTCTCATATTCATGTGTGGCATAAAAATGGACATATCTTAATACATATGAACCCACTAAAATAATGTTTAAATTTTAGTCAAAATTTTCTCTACAAAAATTTACATTTTCTAGTTAAAAATATTTTGCTCATACTAGAAAAAGACACAGAGCCTTGTTCCCTCTAAGAGCATGCTGCACATGTTCCATACCTTAGACAACATTTCTACTTGTGTTCAGTAACTCTTGCATTACTTGGGGAGGACTGTTCATCTCAATAAAAAAAAAGTGAGGAGACACCTAAACAATCTAAGCCTCTTCAAAAATAAAACCATGTTAGAAAGAGAACGGATTTCTCTTAAAGAACACCAACCAGTAATTTGTATGGGCCACTCATATAAAATGACGTTTCTCTTCAGCTGCATCCATTTCTGAGGAAAATTAAAGAGACAAATGCTGCTGGAGATGAAATAAGCTTTGAGGAGAACAAGAATACTATGGAAACGTATGATATACAAAATTTTGTAGAACATACTAAGCATAATTCATTATTAGTTAAAGTGGGAGAGTTTCTCTTCAAGAGTCCACAAGACCATTGCTTTTTTATCAATGAAGTTCTGATTAAATGGCCAAGCAACTTCAATCAGGTCTGGAATTTTTCAATGTTTAATATGTAGAGAAATATTTGTAAAGATTTATTAAAATTGTGTGATCTATCTTTGAAATTTTAAAATAATTGTTTTTTAATTTCAGTTTATTTTCTTTACATCCCCAGATGGTCCCTCCCTTCTCACCTTACAGGTTCCCCTTTCCCCTTCCCTTTTTCTTTCTCCCTTTCCCCAGAAAAGGAGATCTCCCCTTCCACCATAGCAACTCTCTCTAGCACATCAAGTTACATCAGGACTGAGCATATAATCATTCACTGAGGCCAGGCAAGGCAGCCCTGCCAGGGGGAAGTGCTCCAAAAGCAGTCAGTAGAGACCATGTTAGAAACAGGCCCTCCCATCTACACTCGCCGGGTGACCCACATGAAGAGCAAACTACTAATTGATCACATATGGACAGAGGGCTTAGGACCAGACCATGTTTGCTCCTTAATTGATGTGTCGGTGTCTCTTAGCCCCCATGATTCTGTGTTAGTAATCTCTATTAGTCTTCTTTTAGGATTTCTACCACTCCAGGACCTTCCTACATTTCCACAAAACCCCTGGAGCTCCATACCATGCTTGGATGCAAGTCCCAGCATCTCCACCCAGCTGGGTGGAACCTTCCAGACAACTGTCCTGTAATTCTCTCTACAGTGCAGTGGGTCTCAGTTTGGGCCAATTACTAGTTAAACTTTTCCTCAATCTTTGTTCCCTCTTCGCATCCCTACCTCCCCACCCCCGCCCTTCATGCAGAAAGGGTAATTTTTGGATCAATGGTTTTGTTGATGCAATTTAGGCTTCATGTCTTCCTCCTTGTTAGGGGAGTTTCAGCTAGAGACACACTCATATCCTCCCAGGAGCCTATCCTGTCAGTTTTCTCCATCTTAACAAAGATGTAAGTTCCTTAGTTTCCCTTTTTGTTCCCAACCCTAGAACCTCCCATCCTCATTGCCCCCACATCTGAACCCCACCGGTGTTTCTCTCCCAATTCCATCTTCTGTCCAGTCCCCCCTTCATCCCGTTCTGACATCTAATTATTTTTCCCTCTGAGTGTCATTCTGGCACCCTCGCTTGGGCACTCCTTCTTACTTCGCTTCTTTGGGTCTGTGGATTGTAGTAAGGTTATCCTGTACTATAGTTCTATAATATCTGCTTATAAGTGAGTATATATCATGTGTGTATTTCTGCATCTGGGCTACCTCACTCAGGATGATCTTTTATCATTCCAAACATTTGCTTGCAAATTTCATGATTTCCTTATTTTAACAGCTGAATACTGTTCCATTTTGCAAATACAACACAATTTCTTTACCCATGTTTTTGGTTGAGGGACATCTACGTTGTTTCCAGTTTCTGATTATTAAAAATATAGCCACTGTGAACATAGCTGAGCAAATGTCCTTTTTGTGTGGTGGATCATCTGTTGTAGGTAACGATTAATATTTACTAACAATTATCTTTTAGTAAAGCTTACTGTTAATCCTAAACAGCTGTATAACCAAATCACCACACAGAGACTGGGTTTATTTAATTAACCTAGAACACAATTTTGGGCAATAATTCCTCTCTCCTAAACCTCCAAGCCCTCATAGTTTCCTAACATTTAGATTTCACCCATTTTACTTGCTGTTAGTGATTTATTAGGACCAGTCCATCTCTCCACATTGTTCGAAGATCTATCCTCCAGCTCCCTCTCCTAGCTTTCTTCTCACCCTTTCTCTCCCACTCATTTTCTGTCCTCTGGCTCCTCCCCTCTTTCCTGTCGTCTGGTTCCTACCATTGCTCAACTTTGTGGTAGTTGCTTTATTTTGGCCTGTTTACACAAAGTTGAGACAGGATGCTTATAATAAGTATCACAATGCAATATCCAAATTGAAACCAGTGAGTGGGAGGGGGGAGAAGTCAGTATTTGAATGAACAAGGGTAAGGTGTATACATTTCAAAAGAATGTTATACCAACAATCATCTTTTAAGTATATGCCCAGGAGTAGTATATCAGGGTCTTGAGTCAGAACTACTCCCAGTTTTCTGAGAAAGTGCCAGCTTGATTTCCAGAAAGGATGTACAAGCTTCCACTCCCATCAGCAATGGAGAAGTGTTCCCCTTTCTCTACATCCTTGCCAGCATGTGTTGTCAAGTGAGTTTTTAATCTTAGTCATTCTGACTGTAGGAAAATGGAATCTTAAATTCGTTTTGATTTGCTGTTCTCTGATGGCTAAGGACATTGAGCATTTTTAGCTTCTACTCAGCCATTTGAGATTCCTGTTGTGAATTCTCAGTTTACTTCTGTACCCCATGTTTTAATTGGATTATTTGATTTGTTGATGCTTGATTTCTTTTCATTTTTTTTGTGCATTTTGGATATTAGCCCTTTCTGTGATGGAGGGTTGGTGAAGATGTTTTCCCAATCTGTAGGCTGTTATACTGTTCTATTGACAGTGTCCTTTGATTTATAGAAGCTTTTTCAGTTTCATGAGATCCCATTTGTCAATTTTTGATCTTAGAGCCTGTGGGTCTATTGTCTGCTATTCTAATGAGTTCCAGGCTTTTCCCCACTCTGTCTTCTAATAGATTTAGAGTCTCTAGTTTTTGTCAAGGTCTTTGATCCACTTGGACTTGAGTTTGTGCAGCATGATACATATGACTCTATTTGCATTTTCTACATGCAGACATCCAGTTAGAACTTCAGTTTGGTTCTATAGACGAACCTGTCTGTTTCTGTGCCAATGCCATGTAATTTTTATTACTATTTCTCTGAAGTATAGGTTGAACTCATGGATGTTGATACTGCCTGAATTTGTTTTATTGTACAGAAATGTCTTGGCTATCCTGTATCTTTTGTATTTTCATATGAAGTTCATGGTTGCTCTTTCCAGGTATGTAAAGAATTGCGTTGGAAATTAATGGGAAATGTATTGGATATGTAGATGGCTTTTGGCAAGATTTACATTTTTAGTATTTTAATCCTACTGATCCACAATCATGGGAGAACTGTCAATCTTCTAAAATCTACAGTTTCTTTTTTCAAAGACTTGAAGTTCTTTTCATACAGGGCTTTCAATTGCTTGGAGTTACACCAAGTTCTTTTATAGTATTTTTAGCTATTGGGGAGTGTGTTGTTTCCCTAATTTTTTATCACCCCTATACAGGAGGGTTACTGATGTTTTTGAGTTAATTTGGTATACAAATAAATCTCTGAAAGTGTCTCGCACCTGTAGGAGTTCTCTTGTAGTAGAATCTTGGGGGTCACTTGGGTATAGTATCATATCATCTGCAAATAGTGATACTTTGACTTCTCTTTCAATTTGTAATCCTTTATCTCTTTACTTGTTTATTGCTCTAGCTAGAAATTTAAAAACTTTATTGAGGGGTTATGGTGTGATTGGCAGCCTTGATTTGTCCCTGAATTTTAGGGGGAATGCTTGAATTTTCTGTCCATTTAACTTGAAGTTGGCTATTGGCTTGCTATATATTGCCTTTATTGTGTTTAGGTATGTGCTGTTTCTCCCTGATTGCATGATGTCTCTTTGAAAATTTAAAATGATTGTAATGTGCTGTTCTTAGTTCCATTGTGATTGTGAGCTTGCATGTGAGTGTTCATGCATATAAGCACATGTACCTGTTAGGGCCACCTTCAACACTGGTTATCTTCCTCAGTTGCTCTGCCATTTATTTTTAAACAGGATATGGCTCTGAAACCTTTACTATATAATTTTGATATATTCAGCTGACATCATTTCTTTGATTTTCTTACTGTCTTCATGATCACAAAATTTGTATTACAACAACATTTTCTACACACAACTTTTCTTTCCATCCCTCAGCATGATCAAATTCACATGCTCATGTTCATGTGGCAAACGTGTTAAACACTAAGTCATCTCTTCAGTCCTATTTTATTAATTCAGAAATGAAGTTTGGTATTTCAGAATTATGTATATATACACATAAAATACACATATAAAGAAACACATGTTCCTGTAGATAGAATTAGATGAATTGCATTTCAATGTGGTGTGTTCATTCATACTGCAAAATAAATGAATTTTCATGGTTTTATAGGTGTGTATGTGTGTTTCTATGTGTACACACGCATACATACACACATGTATACATTCACATATTTTTATTATACATGCATGCTCATGTTCAAGCATCCTTACTTTTGTACAACTCATACTCAAGCATATCAATAGATTTGCAAAGTTGTGAACTAGCATGAACACAAAACAACTTATGGATTTTGATACAACATATTTCTGTAGCCAATGTATATGAGCTACCAGATATGTGTATCAGGAACTGAAGTCATATTTCTCTGAAAGAGCAGCATGCACTATTAAATGCTGAGCCAGTTATCCAGATGTATATTCCTGTTAATATATTAATATTTATGAGATAGAAATTGAATCCAAACCAAGGCAGAAAAGAGGTCTAAGGATAGAAAGAAATAGTTGTTCTTTTCTTACACAAATTTAACATATAACAAACTAAAGTTTTGTTAGTTTAGTAGTTAATGTGATTAACTAACATGAAACTGGTGAAAATCTTATGTGAAAACACCACTAATGTTTAAAAAGAAAGAACTATTCTTAGCTTTTGGAGTTAAGGGTAAAAGTCACAGTAATAGATCATAATTCATCAATGGCCAAACCATCTTTCACAAGAAAACTGAACTTCCTTTTGCAGCTGAAACAGTGTGTATGGGTAATAATACATGATTGGAAATGTAAAAATAGAAAGAGATGAGGGAAGAGTTACTGGGTTTCTCTCTGACAATCCAACTGTTCCATAATTCATATAAAAATGAGTTCTGGCTTGCTGCATTAAAGGAGAGAATATGTGGATGTCATACAGATTTCACAAAGGCTAGGAAAAAGTGAGTCACAGTTTAGTCACCACAAAGGGAGGTTGAATATTTAGCATTGGGAAGTGTGCTAATTTCAAATCTCCATTCTACACTTTCGTATTAAAAATGTCTGAGTTCCTCATAAATACATAGAATTTACATAGGATATGTGCATTTAAGTTATTTAACCTAAAATATTTTAAATTAATGTACAATATTATGACTAGTTTTTTTCTGTGTTTCCTTCAGACACCTCAATCCGTATGTACACAGCACTGTGGTCCAGGATTCTGGAAAGTTCCACAAGAAGGAAGACCCATCTGCTGTTTTTCTTGTTCATTTTGTCCAGAGCAGCACATTTCCAACCAGACAGGTATAAAAACAATATCTTTCCTCAAACTGCTTGGGAATGTAGAATGGGAAAGCTGAGAAGTGACCGTGACCATGGTGTCATAATGTAGTGCTCTTCCCTATGTCTCTTTCACTCATCCCTGAATCCATTACTGACCACTGCTGATCCCACACAATGTGTGATATTTGAGTGGCAGTGAGTTCTCTTGCTATTGTGTCAAAATCAACCTACTTAAAAATCCTTCCTTTTGGTTCATGGAATGGCCATCTGAACTCTTGCAGTGATACATGCTTTAGGCTACCCATTGAATGTGAGATATCCAGTTGTTCAAGATCGAATTATATTTCTGTAATAAACAAATGTAATGATCGGTGCCTGAAAGTGACTCCAGGAAAAGTAGATGTGTAATTGTTTCCTCAATGCACAAGAAATGGAACTGCATTTAAAACACTTATAGTTGATATTTCAAGTACCAACAATAGCAGAAAAAGCCAATCTTCATAAATGAAAGTATGGCTGCCTGTTTAAGGTTGTGGTCAACCATGTGATAACATATACATGTAACATCACATGGAATGAGCAAGTAGTATTTATTAATAAAAAGACACACACACAAAGATACAAATACAACATTTAATGAGAAAGAGTCCATGAATTTGAGAGACAATAAATATAAGGTGGGTCCAGGAGAAGGTCTGGAAAGAAAAACAAGAAGAGCTATACTGAGGCAAATATGTTATTTTAAAAATGAAAAAGTTTATAAAAAAATAAAAAGTCAGAAGGATGAAGCATTATTATAATGATGAGAATCTATTATTATTTATTAAATTGTAAAAGGTCAACCTTTAGGCAATTTTATAAGAAACAGAACTTTTCATCTTTTTTTTTTTTTTGAATTTTAATAAATTAGTGCCATGGTTACTCTTGAGAAATCATACTGGAATATTGAAGTAGATTTTCTTTTTTATTTATTTATTTATTTCAATTTATTTACTTTTTTGTATTTTATTTTTTTCTTATCAGTTACATTTTATTAACTCTGTACCCCAGCCGTGTCCCGATCCCTCATTCCCTCCCAGTCCCTCCCTCCCTCCCTCATCTCCACCATGCCCCTTGCCAAGTCCACTGATAGGGGGGACCTCCTCCCCATTCCTCTGATCCTGTTTTATCAGGTATCTTCAGGACTGGCTTTTATTTAAAACAATAAAATGTTGAAAGATTAATTAAAAAGTCTTTATATTCTACAATCTAATGCTACCATGGGATAGATTTCTTGCAGTATGACTTCAAGTACTATGTTGAAGAGATATGGAGAGAGTGGGCATCCCTGCCTTGTCCTTGATTTCAGTGGGATTGCTTTACATTTTTCTCCATTTAGTTTGATGTTGGCAATAGCCTTGCTTATACTGTCCCTACTATGTTTAGGTATGTGCCTTGTATTCCTGATATCTCCAAGACTTTAAACATGAATGGGTGTTGGATTTTGTCAAATATTTGTTAGGCATCTAAGGAGATGATCATGGGTTGTTGTTTTTTGTTTGTTTTGTTTTGTTTTGTTTTTTCTTTCAGTGTGTTTGTATGATGCATTTCATGGTGGATTTACGTAGATTGAACCATCAGTATATGCCTGGAATGATGCCTATTTAGTGGTAGCAGATGATACCTTTAATGTGTTCTTGGATTCTGTTTGCGAGTATTTTATTGAGTATTTTTGCATCAATGTTCATAAGGGAAATTGTTCTGAAATTCTCTTTCTTTGTTAGCTCTTTGTGCAGTTTAGGTATCAAGGTGACTGTGGTCTCATAGAATGAGGTTGGTAATGTTCCTTCTGTTTCTATTTTGTGGAATGGTTTGAAGCGTATTGGATTTAGTTAGCACTTCTTTGAAGGTCTGGTAGAATTCTTCCCTGAAACCATCTGGCTCAGGGCTTTTCAGGAAGAGTAGTTTTGATGATTACTTCTATTTACTTAGGGGACATAGGCCTATTTAATTTATTTACCTTTTCTTGATTTCACGTCGGTAATTGGAATCTATCAAGAAAATTGTCCATTCTTTATAAAGTTTTTGTAAAATATAGGCTTTTGAAGTACCACTTAAAGATTCTTTTTTTTTATTTCCTTGGTGTCTGTCCTTATATCCCCTTTTTCATTTTCTACTTTGTTCATTTTAATAGTGTCTTTCTGCTTTTTGTTACTTTGGTTCAGGTTTTATCTATTCTGTTGATTTTCTCAAAGAACCAGTCCTTGGTTTTGTTGGCTCTTTGAATCATTTTGGTTTTAGTATATTGATTTCAGCACTGAGGTTGATTATTTCCATCCATCTACTCCTCTTGAGTGTATGTATATATTTTTTCTAGATCTTTCAGGTGTGTCATTATATTGCTTGTATGAGATGTCTCAAATTTCCTTATGAAGGCACTGAGTGTTATCAACTTTCTTGTAAGCATTGCTTTCATTGTGTCCCATAAATTTGGGCATGTTGTACCTTCATTTTCATTGAATTCTAGGAAATCTTTGATTACTTTATTTCTTCAATGACACTTCTCATTGAGTAGAGCGTTTTTCAGGTTCCATGTGTGTATACTTGTTTTGCTATTTCTGTCATTGTTGAGATCCAGGTTTAGAACATGGTGGTGAAAATGGATACAAGGTATTATTTTAGTATTCTTGCATCCATGGAGACTTGCTTTGTGCCCAACTCTATGGTCAATTTTGGAGAAGTTTACATGGGGTGCTAAGAAGGTTATATACTCTTTTGTGTTGGGGTGAAAAGTTCTGTAGACATCTATTAGGTCCATTTGATTCTGGACCTGGGAGATGACCAGTGGGGACCTGGATCAGATCAGTTCCAATACCTGGATGTCCCATCCAAAACTGGAAGCACCTAAGTTGATGCTTTGGCTCTAGCCTCCTGTCCACTCACTGGTCTCAGAGTCTTGAAACTCTGCCTCTCAGATACAGTGCACACGGGTATCCACCATCTTGGATTCTTTATTTTTTGATCTTTCATCCTTCCTTCCTTTTTTGGTTGGAGGCTTTTGTGACGTTTTGAATTTCCTCATGGGTCTGGATGTATTTATGTAATTGAATTATTGCTGAATTCCTGTTTGAATCATTGTTGCTTGGGCAAATCTAAAGCTTATCCATGTCATGTAAAATTTTAAGCTTACTGGAATATAGTATTTTTTTAAATGTTTCCTTAGAATATTCTGAATTTTTTGGTTTCTGTAGTAATGTTTTTTTTCTGTCATTTGTGATTCCTTTAGTGTGATTGTTAATTTGATTCTGTTAATTGTTTCTTTGATTTACTTGACTCAAGAGTCTGTAAATTTTGTTTATATTTAGAAAGATTCAGCCCTTCCTTTTGTTAATTCTATGTATTGTTTTCTTGGCTTCTATTTCATTGATTTCTATTACAATCTTACTATTTCTTTTTAAATATATTATTAATTTGTTCATGTACTATTGCAGCATCTGCTCACACTTCTCCTCACAGTCCCTCCCTTCCACCTCACTTCCCAATGCATGTGCCCCTCTTCCCTTCCTTTTCAGAAAAAAAGAAAGCCTCCCTTGGACATCAAACTTGGCATATAAAGTTGCAATAAGATTATGCAAAACTGCTATTGACGCTATACACAAGGCAGTCTAATTATGGGAAAGGGATCCAATGGCAAGCAAAAGAGTCAGAGACAGCTTTGGTCTTGCTGTTAGGTGTTGCCCATAAAGTCCAAGCTGCACAATTGTTACACTTGTGCAGAGAGGCCAGATTGGCTTTTCATTCCCTGTGAGCCTGTACCAGGAGCCTTTCTGTGGGGCTGTTCTTATCATGGAAAGGAGTTTCAGAGTGTTTTTGCATACAGGTGCTCCACAGAGCAGATGAAGTGTCAGAGAGGGTAGGAAATGAGTTAGGTGCAGTGGTCAGGAAAATCTCACAGCAGACTTCTAAAATTCAGGGCTTTCTGTGGTTCTGACTCTCTAGAAGGCATGCCTAGTCTGTGATTCTTTGTTAATATCAACAAGGCATGTCTTTATACAAGTTTCACAGTACAAACACAGACTTATGATTACACAAGTTATTCAGAGTGGGTGTTGGGTTTTTTTTTTTTCAATTACATATCCAGGGTTACAAGTTCAGTTAAAATTTAAAAAATACAAAAGGAACAGATATTATTATTATCAGCTCTATAACTCTATTTTAAGTAATCCAAAGGATGTCTCCTTAAAAGAAAACACATTTACTATATTACAGCCTGCTTTTAGGCTGGCAGTGTTTGCAACATGATTGCAGTCCAGAGACATAGAAAATGCATGAACTTGTCTTTTTATGAATAGAAAATACTAATAAATAACTTCCTTCAATATATGTATCATCATCTATGTTATAAAGTAGAAAAAGTCTATTTTAGTCAATTCTTATTTATTGAATTTTATTTAATCAGGAATCTATGCTCAATTGCCTCATATCTTTAAACAATATTTACAGTGAGTTCTCAGCCTATAATAAAAGAAATACAATTTTTTACCCAAATCTCTTGGCCTCTCAGGGTTTGCATATTGTCTTTGTTTAGCCTGAACCAATATACTGTTTAGAGGCATATAGCCCAAGAAAACTCCTGAAATAATGGCCTCATTTCTCTATCTGCTTGTCTGTGCTTAACGAACTCCAGAGTCTATAGAAGATTTCCAAACAGTGGACAGATATAGTTAGGTTTAGGATTTTCATAAAAAAAACTCAAATATAACTTTTCTGTAGAAAAAAAAACAACAGAAATTGAATCATAGTGCCAAAAGTCCCCTGTAAGTTAGATATAGAATAACAGTGATCGTAACAATCTGGAATTGTGTCAAGCAACTGTGCTGGCTTCATGACTCTCAACAATTTCAGTGAATATGGCTGTGTCATTCTTCCTTTCTGATTTAATATGTTAGAGATTTATGGTACTACATAATATTTTATAGATTTATGGTACTACATATGACATGTAGGTAATTTTTCAGTCTTCAGAATAATACTGAAAGAAA